AACTTATTCTTAAAGTATATAGTAAACAATTTAGTTTAATCTTGCTAGCCACATTTATATGTAGGAAATTGTGTCCAACTCCATAGCTCTATTGCATGCAGCATGTCAGGTTTGTTCAATAAAAACTGTCACGTAAGAAATAGAGGCTGCCAATGCTAATCCTCTTATGAAAATGCTAATTTCCTGGCTGTCACGCTGATCCTCTGATTTCTATACATTGATCCACTGACTTGAACAAGTACGATTTAGAGTGCTGACATCCCTTTGACATCACTTCCTAATCTAACAATTAAATGTCTCCAGTCTCTTGCACAGCAATAAAAGATTTTTCCCATTAATCGACAACTAGAGCCCAGCTTTGGACCGCTCTGCATAGTGACATATACAGCGCCTTGAAAAAGTATTCATATCCCTTGAAATTTCCCACATTTTGTCATGTTACAACCAAAAACGTAAATGTAATTTATTGGGATTTTATGTGATAGACCAACACAAAGTGGCACATAATTGTGAAGTGGAATGAAAATGAGAAATAGTTTTAAAATGTTTTTACAAATAAATATGTGAAAAGTGTGGCGTGCATTTGTATTTAGCCCCTCTCCAGAGTCAATACTTTGTAGGACCGCCTTCTGTTGCAATTACAGCTGCAAGTCTTTCTGGGGATGTCTCTATCAGCTTTGCACATCTATAGAGAGTGAAATTTTTGCCCATTCTTCTTTGCAAAGTAGCTCAAGCTCTGTCAGATTGTATGGAGAGTGTGAACAGCAATTTTTAAGTCTTGCCACAGATTCTCAATTGGATTTAGGTCTGGACTTGGACTGAGCCATTCTAACAAATGGATATGTTTTGATCTAAACCATTCCATTGAAACTCAGGTTGTATATTTAGGGTCATTGTCCTGCTGGAAGGTGAATCTCCGCCCCAGTCTCAAGTCTTCTGCAGACTCTAACAGGTTTTCTTCTAAGATTGCCCTGTATTTGGCTCCATCCATCTTCCCATCAACTCTGACCAGCTTCCGTCTCTGCTGAAGGAAAGCATCCACCACAACATGATACTACTACCACCACATTTCACGGTGGGGATGGTGTGTTCAGGGTGATGTGCAGTGTTAGTTTTCTGCCACAGATAGCATTTTGCTTTTAGGCCAAAAAGTTCAATTTTGGTCTCATCTGACCAGAGCACCTTCTTCCACATGTGTGCTGTGTCCCCCACATGGCTTCTCGCAAACTGCAAATTGAAATTCTTATGCCTTACTTCTTCCACTCTTCTAGATTTGTGGAGTGCATGACTAATAGTTGTTCTGTGGACAGATTCTCCCTACTGAGCTGTGGATCTCTGCAGCTCCTCCAGAGTTACAATGGGCTTCTTGGCTGCTTCTCTGTTTAATGCTCTCCTTGTCCAGCCTGTCAATTTAGGTGGATGGCCATGTCTTGGTAGGTTTGCAGTTGCGCCATACTCTTTCCTTTTTTGAATGATGGATCGAACAGTGTTCCATGAGATGTTCAAAGCTTGGGATATTTTTTATATCCTAACCCTACTTTAAGCGTCTCCACAACTTTATCCCTGACCTGTATGGTGTGTTCCTTGGCCTGCATGATGCTTTTTGTTCACTAATGTTCTCTAACAAACCTCTGAGGGCTTCACAGAACAGCTGTATTTATTGTATTTATACTGAAATTAAACTACACATAGGTACATTCTATTTACTAAATAGGTGACTTCTGAAGGCAATTGGTTCCATTAGATTTTAGTTAGGGGTATCAGATAAAGGGGGCTGAATACAAATGCATGCCACACTTTTTAGATATTTCTTTGTAAACATTTTGAAAACCATTTATCATTTTCCTTCCACTTCACAATTATGTGCCACTTTGTATTGGTCTATAACATAAAATGCCAATAAAATACATTTACATTTTTGGCTGTAACATGACAAAAATGTGGAAAATTGCAAGGGGGAATACTTTTTCAAGGCACTGTAGGCTTCATCCCCTTCCTCTCTTCTGCTCTTTGCAAACAATGGAATTCTGCTGTTTTGTAATATGTTCAGGTTATATCAATGTGGCTGATTAACTAAAACTGGGGATTGCAAAATCTGGTGCAGCTGTGCATGGTAGCCAATTCGTTTTTAATGTCAACTTGTTCAATTAAAGGAGAAGTACAACCAAAGCTCATTTGGCTGTACTTCTCCTGTGGATCACAAGAATGCAGCACCTGGCTCAGCCTCTCAGTGAGCAGCTGAGAGCCTGAGTCAATCGCTCCCTCCCCCTCTGCAGCCCAACACTACAGTGAGCACCGGGGGGGGGGGGGGGGGGGGGCGGTAAACAGAGCAGGGAGCGGTGACTAACAGTCACTGCTCTCTGCTCAGAGCAGAGAGGAGAACTCAGCGATCAGCGGTCACGTGATCACTGAGTTCTCCCCCTTAATGCTGACAGGGGACAGATGCTGCATTGGACAGATGCTGCATCCACCTAGGTAAGTATAAAAAATGGAAAAAAAAATCCCTACTTCTCTTTTACGCTTTGACAACAAAACCTGGAAGCTGATTGGTTTCTATGCAGAGCTGCACAAGATTTTGCACTCTCCAGTTCTAGTAAATCATCGCCAATGTGTCCGAATTAAGAACTGTTATGATTTCTCCACATGAGTCAATCAGGCTTATAATTTTACTTTTCCAGCTGTTATTTATCAAACCATTTCTAAATATATTTGTAGGCTGATGTTTTCCATGCACTTTTGATTCAACACATGACTGAATGGAATTAGGCAGTTCACAGCAATCTGCCCCCTGCCGTTCAGATTGTTTCCCAGTTTTGAACGATCCAATAGTCACAATTGGTGTGGAAATCAATCAATCAAAAATGCCTTTAGACAAGTATTGTGCTGTTTTAGATCGATTCCCATCACAAATTTGATCATTTGGTTGCTCAACACTGTGATGCAGATTGTTGTAGGCAATTTAGTTCCAAGTTATGTTTTTATATTGGAAGCTGACTGAATGAAGGTTCTCTCCTGACTTACCTAACCTGTATGCCAAACAAAACTTTTCTCCACTTGGCTAACAGATGCACACATTTAATAGATCATTGTATCAAAAGGGGACCTTTCATTACTATAGTGGTAAGGCCTTCTCTCCTTTCTTTGGATAAAGTGCTGGAACTAGTTTGTACACAACAGAACCCCACCTTGTGGTGGTTCCGACAATGTAGTTAGCAAGAAGGCGGATGCTTGGTAATAAATGCTCATCATGGCTCCAAGCACTCACCCAAGACAAGCAGCGGCAAGAGGAATACATCGGGATGGGAGGCTGACACGCTTCCCCCTCAGTCTGCATTCCTCTTGTCACCACTTGTCTTGGACAAGCGCTCAAAGCCAAGAATAGTGGCAGTTATCAAGCAGCCATCTTCTTGCTAGCTATGTTTCCTGATGGTTGCAGGAGGAGGGGGCATCCTGTCTGACCCCATAGCTAGACTCACAAAACATGTAAGAATATGAGACAAAGCACTACATGGGTAACAACACTACACTGAAAACATGAATACTTATTTAAGAGAATGACAGGGTTTCATTATCTACAGGAAAATTGACAGGGCTGAAACCATTTCTTGCAGTTTTAGACCACAAAAGGTCATGTGGTGTCATTTCACAGAAGAAATGAGGAGCGGAGTGCATTTCCGGCAGACCAACAGGCATTTTCTGTACTTGTAAAATCTTTAAAGGGATAAAACATGGTGATCTGGGCATATACTAGTTTTTTCACTCTGACATGTGTTTTAAGTGGTTGTAAACCTCAGAGATGAAATATGAACAAAGCATATAGTGTGTACTTATCTCAATCCCGAGCATTAAGTGTCATTTTTGTCTGCTTCTTTGTTCCTCTGCTATCAGCATGAGTCACTTCTGACAAAAGAAAAATGGTGACAGGGGAGAGACCGCCAGCAGATTGACAGCCTCAGTGTTGTTCCTGTGAGCTGTGTGGAGGGGGTGTGTCTCTTCCCTCCAATCAGCTCTCAGAATTCTCTTCTGCAGCATCTAATTTCAGCTTCCCCCCCCCCTTGTTTCTGAACTCTCAGAAAAGCTTTAAAAATTCTGCATTTTCAATGGCTATAGAAAAGAGAAGACTGCAGATAGACAGGTGTAACTTATGTGGGAGGATTTGTTTAATCTCTGTGTATCACCTGAGGCCAATCACTTCACTGGTATATGTGAGTATTACAACCACTTGCAGTACTGAGATCCTTGCTTGTTTAGCAAGGAATTCTCTGAGGTTTGACAACCACTGGAGTATTGTGTTATTTACACCATGCCATTGGACTATAGAAGGGGTCTCCAAACTTTCTAAACGAAGGGCCAATTTATTGTCCTTTAGACTTTAGGAGGGCCGGGCTGTGGCCAGTGGGAGTAGAAAAGGTCCCAATGTCATTGGGAAAAAATAATGCCCTATTGTTTGTGTCAGTCAGAGGAATTGTGCCCCATCACTGGTGTCATTGGAAGGTGTTGTGCCCCCTTCATTGGTGTAAGGGGGGGGGTTATGCATGATTGTTGGCATTAGTGGATGAAATAGTGCCCCAAGGGCCAGATAAAGGCAAGCAAAGGGCCGCGGTTTGGAGACCACTGGACTGTAGAGTATTGAACACTGTAGGCACGTGTGAGCATGGTGTAATTTTAAATGTTAGACTGGGCTGACTTTAATACGCTGCAACATTCCGTTTTAAGTCTCTGGTATTCCATATATATTTATATTGTACTGTACAATGGTCCCATCACTCTGTGATAACAATGCATCAGTGTTTTAAAATATTAATTGGGGTAGATTTACTAAAACTGGAGCACTCAGAATCTGGTGCAGCTGTGCATGGTAGGTATCAGCTTCTAACTTCAGCTTGTTCAATGAAGCTTTGACAATAAAACCTGGACCAGAGTTTGAGCGCTCCGGTTTTAGTGAATATCCCCCCATTGTGTTCCAAAAATGAGACCAATACTCTGATGAGGTCACCTACCTATTTTCACAGTATATAATATTGAGGTCCATGTTGACACGTGTTACAAACATGTGGCAGTCAATGCGGACTTCATTGATGGTTGGGGGAGGGAGAGCATGAGCCACAACTACTAAACCCATCACCTGTCCTGGCCCAGTACGCCCATGAGACAAAGACACACGGAGACGCAGACGTCCAGTTACATGAATCACCTGGAAAACATGAAAAGACACAACTGCCTCAGTAGCTAGAAAAATAGGGAATTCCTCTATGAGGATTTGTCACGTCCATAAACTCTGAAAATATTAGCATGTAATGAATTAAGTGAAATACACTGTTATGCAATACCCTACATTTTTAGTTTTCTCCTCAAAAGCAAATACACTATAGCACTAGTAATGGAATTTCTAAAACAAAAAGTGCAGATGATCAAGCAAAAACATACTTCTAGAAATGTCACACTGAGAATGCCCATGTGTATGATTATGATAGTATGCAGTCTGTAGAGGACATACAAGCTCATTACCTAGATCACCATTACAATTACTATGTTATAAATTAATGTCCAGCAGAGATTTATCAAGTTATTTCCATGACTTTTGGCACAGGATTTTAGAAACAATTTCTTAGAGCAGTCATCACAGATAGATACTGGATGTATAATTCACATCTGATAATACAGGAGATAGTAATGAATTTGGGACCCAGGAGGACAGTAGCTGGGGCCATTCAATCAGGTGTCACATTCATTACACACTTCAAGTGCTGCCGAACACTTAGAAGCCCCTTATGAAGATTCTGTATACACTCTTCTTTGAAACAATGCAATATGGCAACTGTAGAGAAACTGAAGGCGCTTTCAGCAGTTCTCAATGAAAGTGGTTATAGGTGGGTTGTCTAATTGTGGCTTCTGTCATCCCATGCCTTTTAAAGTCTGAATGTTCATTTTAGAATCTCTCTGTATAGACATTTGCACTCTATAAACATATATATATGGGTATACCAGCCTTTTTCAACCAGGGTGCCTCCTGGGTTCTTCGGGGGTGCCTTGGCAAAATGCCTAAAACAATTGCCCCAAAATTGTCAACAAGCCGGTGAGTGGATCAGGCCTGCCTTTTTGTTACACAAAGCCACAGGTTTTTATTGTTCAGCATTACAATCTTAACCAGCCACTGGTATCCTAAAAACCAATGATGTCATGCCTGCCTCTCAGTCAGTACTGGGGTCACGTTAGCAGAAAGTGGGAGTGAAAGTAAGGGAGAAAATAAACAACAGAATACTAGTCGGTACCAGTTTGCAAAGGTGGAGGAATAAATCACCTCTAATATTGGGTGGCCCATGTGTGTGGATGTTGCTATGATATGTAAAACTATTTTTGTTTCTTTTATATTTTAGAATGGGGTGCCTTGAGAATGTTCAGAATTTTAAAGGGTTCCTTGACTAAAAAAAAAAATTAAGAAAAACAAGGTTACACAATGTCAAAAAATGTCTAAATATCGAAAGGCAATTAAAAAAAAGTATAAAAATGAAAGACAATGAAAATGCATAAAAGACAGTTCTGAATGGGAATAAACAGACTGAAATATATTTTGCTGTCAGAATTTGTTCACAGAGCTTACACTGACATGTATACTTAAGCCCCATAAATAGATAAATAAAAAGACAGATGGACAGAACATGGGACACACTAATGAAGAGAGAAACATATGAGAGAAACATAGCTGTAAAATAGGGAGACACAAGGAGGGAAAAAAAATGCGATATCCAAAAATGAAAGTCAAAAAATAGACAGAGAATGACCAAAGCAAGCAAATACAAAGCAAAAGGCAAGCATTAGGAAAAGAAATCCGGGAAAAGGGAAGGCAAGAAATAAAAAGAAGGTCTGGTCAGTAGGAGGCAGGGCACCACAGCCTGAATCATCCGAAGAGCGGCAGAATAGAGTGAGCAGAGTCCTCTTTGACACATGTGGGGAGTTTTGCTTCTGGATCGCTCATGGCAAGAAACACATCAGAGACTCCTGTGGTACTTTTATATATTTCAGCAGCTAAATCTAATATGACACCGAAAGGGGGGGGGGGGGGGGGGGAGCGGAGGTACACACAACGTCAGGAGCCGGCTCCCCTTCCTATGACCTTAACTGATAAAACTGGGAGAACTCAATTAACCCTTCATCAGCCCGGGCTGGCTCCAGCTCCTTAATTTTTGCTTTAGCTTATATATTCTTTTTGAATTCAAATGACTGACAATACGATTCAAGTGGTGAGTGGCAGATCTCTCCTATATGCGGCGAACAGTAGTACAGAATTCCCAGTATAGTTACTCTACAATGCCAAAGTGGCTGCACCAAGCTAGTCTGTGTTCTACAACCTTTCTGTAAGCATTCAAGTCTTCCTTACCACTGACTGGGGTTCTTGACTTACAAGAACAGGTCTTAGGAACAGGTAAGGCCAGTCTCTTGTCTTCTAATGTGTTCCAAGTATTGTAAGTTTTGAACTGGGGTCAGAAAGCCCACTCTACTTTCTTCTTCCGCTGTAACCACCATGCCCTAGGGCTGGTTTGGAATTTGGTATCCTGTGGGCTAGGGGCAGAGGACATTACCTAGTCTATCACCTAGTCTTCACTAACAACCAAAGGGGCAGGTGTACTGGGAGAAAGCAATGTGGCGGTACTGGACTTGTGATAAGCCAGCCATGCACTGTATGACTTTTGTCTGGTTTCTGACAGACCTACCAAAAGTCGATCAGTGGGTGGCCCCATCACCACCCTTCTACGTGACATCTTTAAATGCATTAGATGCAGACACTGTTTGTGTATTTTGACAGCTGGAGAGCTGGTTGTCAAAATACAATAACCAAAGTGGGAGATGTGTCCATCCACACTCTTAGTGTGGATGGAGGAACCTGTTAAAAGTGGTTCTAAAGCCTTAAGGTTTTTACCTTAATACATTCTATGCATTAAAGTACAAAACCTTTTGTGCTGCAGGATCCCCCCAGCCCCCTTATACTTACCTGAGCCAGATCATGATCCAGCGATTTGCACGAGAGCAGCGGCCCTCACCGCTGTCTCCTTCCTCACTGGGTAGATTGATAGCTGCAGGAGCCATTGGTTTCCACCGCTGTTAATTAAATGCTGTGACAAAGGGATCAGGTGGTGAGGCCGAACTGCCTGGTCTGTGTCAATAGACGCAGACAGGGCGACTTCAGAATGAGTTGGCAGGAGTGCCCCCATAGTAAAAGGCATTCTATGGGGCACTCTTCGAAAAGGAGGAGCCTGGAGAACAAGGAGGGAACTGAGAAGAGGAGGATCGAGGCTGCTCTGTGCAAAACTACTGCACAAAGCATGTAAGTATAACACGTTCTTTATTTTATTTTTATTTTTTTAAATGAAGCTTTAATGTTAAAGATTTTTTGAGTCAGCCTGCAGGCTAGCATTGGAATGGGTAGTAGGAAGGCAGCAAAAGTGCAAAACGACACAGACCACAAAACTATCATGCACCACTCATCACTTGGATGGCCTACAAAACTCATCTCAATCTACCACGAAAAATAACCCCATATACTCACACATACACTCACCGACCACTTTATTAGGTACACCTGTTCAATTGCTTGGTAACACAAATTGCAAATCAGCCAATCACATGGCAGCAACTCAATGCATTTAGACATAGTAAAGATGACTTTCTGGAGTTCAAACTGAGCATCAGAATGGGAAAGAAGAGGATTTAAGTGACTTTGAACGTGGCATGGTTGTTGGTGCCAGATGGGCTGGTCTGAGTATTTAAAAAACTGCTAATCTACTGGGATTTTTACACACAACCATCTCTAGGGTTTATAGAGAATGGTTCAAGGAAGAGAAAATATCCAGTGAGCAGCAGTTGTGTGGACAAAAATGCCTTGCTGATGTCAGAGGTCATAGGAGAATGGGCAGACTGGTTCAGGATGATAGAAAGGCAACAGTAACTAAAATAAGCACTCGTTACAATCAAGGTATGCAGAATACCATCTCTGAACGCACAACATGTCGAACCTTGAAGCAGATGGGCTACAGCAGCAGAAGACCACACCAGGTGCCACTCCTGTCAACTAAGAACAGGAAACGGAGGCTACAATTCACATCGGCTCATCAAAATTGGACAACAGAAGACTGGAAAAGCTTTGTCTAGCCTGATGAGTCTCGATTTCCTAGAGATGGCTGTGCCTGAAAATCCCAGCAGATCAGCAGTTTTTGAACTACTCAGACCAGCCTGTCTGCCAGCAACAACCATGACATGTTCAAAGTCACTTAAATCCGCTTTCTTTCACATTCTGATGCTTGGTTTGCACTTCAGCAAGCCGTCTTCACTACGTCTAGATGCCTAAATACATTGAGTTGCTGCCATGTGATTGGCAATTTGTTTTACCAACAATTGAACAGGTGTACCTAATAAAGTGGCTGTCAAGTGTATATATCCTACTTACTGCCCTATAAAAAATAGAACAGTAACTTCAATAGACACAAGAAAAATCATAGTGATCCAAAGCAACCAATCAGAATTCATCTTTCACTTATCTGACAAGAGGCAACTGACAGTACATGGGGTGCTATAGGTTTACCCTGATTAATCATCGTTCCTCTGCAACATAAAAGTAGACCGGTTCTGCAAAACTATCAAGACAACTATATGACCATTCCTGCTTGCTAGCTAATGCGATATGTCTACTTAGGCTTGTGACTAGTGTGATGCATATAGTGCACTCGGCACTCCTAACACTTACTGTAAAGGGCAACAGCACTCTCATCTATATATGACAAATCCCGATACCTTTAAATGTAAAACTTGTAGCATATGATATGGTGCCCATTCTATGTTCTTGCAGTCTCGATGCCAGACAAGTATGATTGCTCTTCTCTCTCTTTTTTTATCCTCTCTTGCCTCAGGAGAGAGGAACCATCCTGATTCTTTATACACTGAGGCTCTTCAAAGACACCTTTAGATTGTAGGCAGCCTGGGGGGGAATTCTCTCCCAGACACAATTTGGAAGCAACATGAAGGCCTTGAAGTTGAAAAGCAAAGCAGAGGGAGGACAGAGGGAGCAGGGCAGAGGAAGGGGGTGTGGGACGAAGGCTCCGTGTATTTTTCCTCCGTTCCTTCCACTCCCCCAAGAGGTAAAAAGACTTGTATACTCAGAGTTTTTGTACACGTGACAGAGTATAGGCTCTTGTTTATCTTGCTAGTTCCGACACTCCTAATTGGTTTAGGAAACAGGCAGTAAAATGGAAAGATATGGAACAAAATGAAGACAGACACAAGAATCAAACAGATAAATGAAACAAATGACATGCTTCCAGGTGTAGATTAATATTCAGATGAATTTCAGATAAGCAGCTGTTGAGTGACATATTTTCCACCACTCATAACAACATAATCCATGTAATACAGCATTATTTAATAAAGCTATGGAACTGACCATTAACTACATATCACATCCTGAGAATTATTAGATTTAAATGTTTTATTCACCTCAATATTACCATATACAGATCTGTCTGAGGTGAGGAGAATCAGGTAATTGGGGCAGTTGTCATTCATGAAATGTATGATTCTCCACAATTTGGACAAATCTGCATGTTTGTAATCAAATGATTTAATCAAATTTGTTCATCGCTGCTACCCACCCAAATCGGCATTTTTGCAGGTTAGAGCCATCAAATGCTGGTCTCTGATTGGCTGCTATATGTTAAAACAAATCTTTCCTAAGAGAAACATGGTGACAGCTGTTGCTGAGCTTCTTCTTACAATGCCAGTTGTCTTTTACACTCACTGGCTTTAATACTAAAGGCACTGCCCTGGAACAAGCAGGCAGATCAGGAAAGTCAGAAGTCCTTAGCAGCATACGTGTTCCAGATCAATCCAGAGGGTTAGAATTATAGCCAAGCGACCATCTTTTGAAGAACGAAAGGCAGCAATGGTAGCCTCGATGTTTCTCTTAGGAAAGGGTTTTTTTTAAGGAGACACTGTCATCTTGCATATTTAGGGCAAATTGACAGTGTCTTTGCAAAGTGCCCTTCCATGTCCATTGATACTTTTGTTGGTGTTCCCCCACCATTCTTTCCGCTGGTGCAACTGCCAAAAAAATCCTGTGCTTTCAGGTATGGGCGAGGCATCTGACCTCCTCCACTGTGATAGTGCTCAGGCCTAGCAGGCAATCAAAAAGCTGCTAGAGCCAAGCGCTATCACATTGGTAGTGACGTCACTGCTCCCTTTACCATCCAACATTAGCCAAAGAAGGGAAGAAACAGTGGTGAAGCCTTGGCAAGGTTAATAATGGGTGTTTGGAGGAACTCCTTTGCAAAGATACTGTCACTTGGCAATAAAGCTCTGCAACATGTATGAACTGTTATTCCTCCATTCTATGGGCAGCTCATACACTTTATGTGTGTAGCAGCGCACACTCTAATATGTGCAACATGTATTATTTTTAAACAAAGCTACATTTTCATTTTAAGGTAATTCTAAAGCTTCCATTTTTTAAATAATAAACATGTCATATTTACCTACTCTGTGTAAAGGCTTTGCACAGAACAGCCCCGATCGTCCTCTTCTCGGGTCCCCCACTGGAGCTTCTGGTCCCTCCCGCTTCTGGTCACTCCTGAGCCACCTCTGTGTGTCTATGGAGCTCTGCACCGCCCCCAGCTACTTCCTCACTGGTTGTGATTGACAGCTCTCTTCAACTTTTACAACCACATTAAGAAGCAATACATGGATCAATTCTAGCGTGCAGATTTCTGAAATATGTTCCAATCTTTATAAATCTTTGCATTAAACATGTAACATGGTACCAGGACTGAAATGCAGGCTCACTGAAGTGCCTGCCCCTTTTGTTCTTTGTTAGCACCTCAGAAGCCCTGGAACTCTGGGCATTCTAATGTGCAAATACCACTACTTTCCCCAATCCTCACAGCCATTGTAGCTGTTGAACTTAAGATAAGATTTAACAGAGAGAAGAAGTAATCCAGACAGAGTAGGACAATCAACCTTCCTTACTGAGGTCTGTAATTGCAGATCAGTTCACCCAGGTTTTGGGGTTTTCAGTGGGCTTAGGAAGAGTGGATACTTGAAGGTGCTGTTTTTCAATCCTGGTCCCACATAACATTTTTTAAAACAGATTTACACTGTGATGGAAAAGTACACGTGTCCTAATTTCTCAGTCCCTGCTCATGAGCTATACATGCAGGAGCTTCTGATGGGCAATATTTAGTTTGGGAGATAGGATATCTTTATTCGTTAGGTGTGCATAAGGTAGGCTCTGTTTTGAAGAAAGGGGTTCTATTGGAATAAAGTGCTGGAGAATGTCAACCAAGGGTAGTATTTCCTTATCATATTTACCCAAGAAAATATCAGTAGATATAAACGATAAGGTCTTATTTTTCAATTTTAGTGGGGCAGCATTCACAAATGGGTATTTCTAGGGGCACTTGGACCAATAAAACCATTCAGTATACTTTTAAATATACTTTAACACAGAGGTGATACCTAAGTGGTTGGCAGTAATAAGGTGTCAGTCCACCCAAAACTAATATTTCCAATTTTGGTAGATGCTGCAGTGTTAAACCGACCTACAATTTCTTATATCTCTGGAAGGACTAAACTGGTGATACATCATTGCTTTAGTTCCAGAACCATCACACCTTCTGCAGACTTTGTGTGGGGTTCCCAATAACTATGTTGGATTATTATTTATTTCATATATAGAGTGCAACAGGTGCTGCTGGAATATGCAAAGGTGGACAGGGACACCCAAAACTCCCTGATGGACATGAACAAAGTCTCATTTGTGGCAGGAAGATCTCGATGTTGGAGTATTCAAGGCATATTAAAGTAGGAGCTAACGCCTTCAAGCTCTACCTGGAACTAAAACATCATTTTATTAAGGGAACTGACATTTTAAGAAGCAAAATCCACACAGTCGCTTTCCTGCAATGCCAGTAACATCCAGACTGTTTGGTTTTTAACTTTGTTACCTTTTTTTGTTAACTCCAAGAGGGTTTCTAAATGCTGTAGTTGGCAGCTATCAAATGCAAAGTCTTCCCAGATGATCATTCTGTTATACCATGAGCAGCAGAATAGTTTCTTCAAGACTCAAGTACTGTGTTGGCAATTTTTAGTATGTAGCATGTAACTCACCTTGTACCCCGAGGATTTTATATGTACACCTCTTTTAGTCAATGTAGATTTCATCCGAATGAAGAAAGACCTTTCTAAAGAGTTATCCTGAGGGAGAATTCCAGGGCTGGAGGACTCCACTAAAAGAGAAGAGTAGAGGTTATACTCACAAAGTCAACATAACCCAGTAAAACTCAAAAAATATATAAGTTAGTGAGCGCAATCCGACAAGCGACCAATGCACTAAAAGGAACCACAAAACCTTTCTAATAAACTCAAAAGTACAAGGAGTGCAGCGCTAGACCCAGTAAAACTAGTTAAATTAATAGTTTTGATTGTACAGTCACTTGTTTTATCTAAAGTGGTTTTCCTTTCAGGGTTGTCTTTTATATTATTTAAAACAAGCACTTATATGTACATCCTGTGCATTAAACCATTTTCAAATATATATATGGTTGTGCTAAAAAGTTTGCATCCCCTGGCAGAAATTGTGAAATTTTGGCATGGATATTGAAAATATGACTGATCATGCCACAAGACTGTCTTTTATTTAAGTATAGTGATCATATGAAGCCATTTATTGTCACATAGTTGTTTGGCTCCCTTTTAGATCATAATAACAGAAATCACCCAAATGGACCTGATCAAAAGCTTACATACCCTGGAATGTTTGGCCTTAGTACAGGGACACAAGGGTGACACACATGGGTTAATATTGCAATTAAAGGTTCATTTCCTACATCTGTGGCTTTTTAAATTGTATTTAGTGTCTGTGTATAAATTTGTTAGCTTCCACATGGATTCACTGAGCAGGATAGATACTGAGCTCTGGTGAGCAGAGAAGAACTGTCAAAAGACATGTGTAATAAGATAAATGAAGCTTTATAAAGATGGAAAAGGATATAAAAAGATATCCAAAGCCTTGAATATGCCAGTCAGTACTGTTTAATCACCTATTAAGAAGTGTAAAGTTCAGGGATCTCTTGATACCAAGCCATGGTCAAGCAGACTGAGAAAGATTGCAGCCACAAATGTCAGAAGAATTGTTCGGGATACAAAGAAAAACCCACAGGTAACCTCAAGAGAAATACAGGCTGCTCTGGAAAAAGACGGCTCTACCACTTTCACCTCGCCTGTAGGTCCATCTCTCACCTCAAGCCTGTACAAAGTACCTCCTCTCAACATTGCACCCGCACCCTCTATTCTCACTATCATAGCTATACACCCCCATTTTCACCACTACATCTGTACTACATCTACATCTGTACCTCCTCTCGCACCAAGCCTGTGCACGCTTCCCCCCACTTTCACTCCAACATCAACAATGACCAACATTTATGGGCAAAGTTGGTGGACCCAGACTACCACACTTCCATGTACTGTACCTGGTACATATTGTTACCTCTATGTTCATGTAAGCTCAGCATCCCACTGCAGCTCTGATACTCCAATCTCCCAGTGAGCTCTGTACCCCAGTGCAGTCAGTGGTTCTTACTAGTATTCTGTGTCCTGCCTGCCTGTATGACCAGCAGCTCATTCTGTGCATTCTGTACTTTCCAGATCATGGTCTCTGTACTTTCCTGTACCAGGTCAGTTGTGGCCAGCACTCTCTGAGCACACTGCCATTCAGCACGCAGGCTGCATGGAGGGTCCACGATCCCAAGCATAGGTGATAGTTTGTGACACATAGGTTGAATTAGGTGGACCGATTTTTTTTTCAACCTTAGAAATTTTGTAACTACGGATTTTTATAATACATAAAAAAATTAAATTATATATATATATATATATATATATATATATATATATATATATATATATATATATGTGATGATCTGCAGATGTTTCATTACCTTAGTGCTATTCTGCCTGGAAGCAAAATGGTTAATCATAAGAGGATGTTAATGGCAGGAGTTGGGGTTAAGCACCCATCTCTACGACAAATAATTCTGCTCTCTAATCCAGTGGAATCAAACCTATTTCTTTTATCACACGGCTCCCATTTTGAATGAAACAAGCTCATTATTTCTAATCAAAAGCTGTAAGATCAAAAACTGAAGTGTCGGCTTCAGATCCAGCTGGTTCTAGGATCCGATGCTTGGCTTCAGCAGAGAACAGGATCATAGGAGCTTCACGATGGGGTGGGCCAGGACAGCTCAGGAAAACACGGCACGTACTAACTAATGCAACAGGAAAACTGTTCCAGCCTCTGGCTGGAGATTCATGTTTTTGAACAACTAGACTGCAAGGGAACATGTTTTAGGAAAAAATGTACTGGGAAAATAAAAGACCACTGTTGCTGACCACTTATTTTGAAAATGCTGGTTGCCTGGCTGTCATGTTGCATTAATGACTTCAGTATTGTTTTTTCTATTGAGTTATTAACCTTTTCCTAGTATTGGTATTGAAATCAAGCATTTCGACTTTAACTTCACTAGTATGCTTGTTCTAGGTTAGTAGCTCTGAAAGCCCTGAAACCATGTGTTCATCGTGACAGATAGGTAACCTGCATTTTTAGAAAGAACTTGACAATGGTAGTTCCCATTATTCTCTCAGTACAGGCTCTCTTTAATGTGTAACGTGTGCCTTTTTCCAGCAAGATCACTAAATTGGGAGCCTATATTGGTGGCCAGAGCCGAGGGTATAAGATTGTTTGGTTACACATTTTTTTAAATCTATAGCTACATGTTAAAATCAGAAAAACTGCCTAAAATATACTGTAACATCATGGCACTCAACTGTCTCTATTTAGAAATCAAATCCCATTGTCCTTTCTTCCTACTCAGGGTCTAACTACCAAAAGTGTTGTACTGTGCTAAATCGTTCATCCAATTTTGAAAGGCCAGTAAAGAGAAAAAGTTGAGGCTAAAAAAAATACTTGTGGGTATATTCAATAATGTTTTGCAAAATAATTCTACTTGCTTTGCCCAACTTGGCCAGGGTGTGTCCTTTGTCTACATACACTGCGTCTCAGAAACTTGGGAGGTATCTAAGAGCAGCACTGCAATTGGGCAAGTGTCCAGTTTGAACTTTGCCTTTATTTGATTCACTTTATTTCTCTCAACATTATTGGCACGAGCTGTCAGTGTGTCCTTGTTCTTGGCACCAATATGTATGGATTACAGCCAAATAAACTGTGGAAGGGAACTACCTGAAGAACCCCCAACATTGTGGAATTTCTTGATGTTTTCACAATATTTAAAGCTGAACTCCAGGGATGTTTAAATAGAAAAGTCATGTGTGTTCTTACATGAACTTTGGTGTGCTTTGTGTAATTCTTCTAGATCTGTGTAGAACCCAGTGTGAAATGTTTCCTCTGTGAGGAGCTTTCACTAATAAAGACCAGTCACTGCTGCTCTCTTTCCTTGTGCAGGGTGACTGGTCTTGTCTCCACCCCTCTCCTGTAGATTTCTGCAGGCAGCTTGTGGTGGGTGGACCAGCTGAACCTCTCCCACAGCTCTGCTCTCTGCATAGACTATGGGCAGCACAGTGATGAGGTCTCTTGCAAAACTCCTGCACTGCTACCTATAAATATAACGTCTATACACAAACAGTGGAAGCCAGCTAACACTCAGGGGTGGACTGACCATTTGGAAACTCGGGCATTGCCCGAGGGCCCGGGGTCAGTAGGGGGCCTCATGAGATGCCCCTGGTACCTTTTTCATAGGCTTTTTTTTAGATTGGGCAAGGACACAGGGGCCCCATGATCCCCTATTGCCCGGGGGCCCCATGAGTTGTCAGTCCACCCCTGCTAACACTAATATGTGGCGAACATTACATCTCAATAATAAACTATAACAGTGCAGTGCTACTCTCATTTAAACGCAATAAAACATAAATAAAATGTGTTTTGCGAGAACATAAAAAATTAAAGTCCAATAGTGTAATCCAAATAAAGTTCAATCCCATGAGTCAACATAAATCATTCTAATCCAACTTGGTTGTCCAAAAAAATAAATCAACCCCAGGTGACACAGATCTTCCAATCTCTCTGTGCAGTATCTCCAGTGATTCACTCCACTCCTCCATCACAAGTGTAGATGTGCTCTGACCTTACAAGGATGACCTGTATATTATAGAGGTCATATAAAGCTTTTTTTCCCCTTCCTGGCTCCAGATTCTGTAGACACAAATCTGCTCCACAAAAATGCAATGTTGGCATAATACTGATGAGGTTTACCTGTGTGCACTAAGGAACAGGCGCAGTTTTAAAGCTTTAATAAATGTGGTTTTAGGGGTACACACTGTGTGGTATATTTTTGTTTACCGTGAGTGACTTTACACTATTGCACTTTATTTTTTTTAATGTTCTTGCACAACATTTTTGTTTTTAAGGCCTCTTGCACACAGGATGTTTTATCAACTCGCCTGGAAGCCTTTCCTCCTGGCAACAGTATTTTGGCACAAAAAATGCTTAACGCTAAAAGTGTATAATGCATTTAGGCGTCTCACGCGATTGAGTGTTAATTAATGTCATTGGCCAGAATTGAAATTAATTAACACTCAAGTGTTAAACATACATAGCGCTTATGTGCGTTTAGACACGTTTACAAGCACTTGCGCGTTTTTTAACTACTCATAAATGCCGGCCGGCCTCAAGCAGAATGATGGCCAGGCAGGCCTATTGTCCCTCTGGAAATCTCTGTCTCGCCACTCGTGTGCGCCCCTGGAGACCTGGTGGCGAGTTGTGTCCCTCACATCACCGATCATGGTAAGCGGCCAATGACAGTGGCTCTTTACCATATGATCGGCAGTAACCAATCACAGCCCATCACACAATGTCAACAAACAGAGGTAACTCACTGTTACCAGCTTCTCCTCCTCACGCACAGATCCTGTGTGAGGAAGAGAACACAGGAACAGTGGGTTACAGCTTTAACCCCTTCAGTACTGTGCCCTGATTGCTTGGTCAGCCCTGTAACAAAAGAGTAACTGTCACAGCAGCAGCCATCAGTGCAGCTTGTCAGTGTACCTGTCACAAAACACCCATTACTGCAGCCTGCCAGTGTACTTGTCACAGCAGCAGCCATCAGTGCAGCCCTAATCAGTATACCTGTCATAGCAGCCCATCAGTGCAGCCCTAATCAGTGTACCTCTCACCATAGTCATCAGTGCAGCCCTAATCAGTGTACCTGTCACC